AAGAGTATTACAACCTTGCAGTGCTTCTTGGAAGATTAAAGATAATAAAAAGAATTATGTCCGGTGCATAGGGGTATTCAGCAAATTGATAAATAGCAGCTATCTTTATTTTTAGCTGGCTGGTAAAATTCTGGAGGTATTTTACTTCTTTCTCTTTTTCCCCACCATTTGAAGCTGTGCTTTGCTTTCAGTTTTATCTCACAGGGGGCACGCAGCTGGCTTATCTAGGATCTCTTCCGGTAATTGGAGAAAAGGAAGTGATTCAAGCTGATGATGAGCCCACCTTCTCTTTCTTCAGTGGCCCCTACATGGTCATGACCAAGTAAGTGGAAGCTGGCCAATGGAGGTAAGATTTAGTCCCACAGGAAGAATGGACGTTGTGTGACTTCCTTGTGTTTGGAGGGTTTCTGCCCGAACACAAGGACACACTGAAAAGCAGATGTCTAGATCAGGATTTCTCAGCCAGGACACCATTGACATTTTTGTTATCCTTTATTGTTGGGGGCTGTTCTGTGCACTGTAGGATGTTTAGGAGTGTCCTTGGTTTCTGCTCACTAGATGCCAGTAGCAGCTCTGTTTGCCTCCCCGCAACCCCCTACATTTGTGATTGTGACAACCAAAATGTCTACAGACAAGGCCAAATGGCCCCTTGTTGAGAACAACCGCTCTGAAAGATTACTCATGACAGTGTTTCAACCTTTCTAGAGAATTAGAGGCAGCATAGGGGTGACTGTCTGGCCTCAGGTCAAAGGGTACTTAAACCCTGCATGGCTCTCACCAGCCAAATGCAGCAGAGGCAGCAGTAATAGGATTTGGCTGTGATGAAAGTCCCTGGGATGTTCTCAGTTCCCAGAGACCTGCCTACTGCAGGGTCACAGGAGTTGTCCTGGCCAAGGTCTCTTGTCCTCCTTGAACCTGGCTGCCTCTTCCCTGCTTAGAAGTCACACCCTTCTAAAAAGGCCTCTGCAGACCCGCAAGGCTCTGTATCCCCTGCAGATATGCTTCTTGTTTTCCTGCCCGTGCCACAGATTTGTTGTCACATCCCCTCTTCTTCTGTCCACTGCTGTGGCCTTTGCCCATGTCATCACTGTCCCTCCCCCAGGCTAGCCTCCTAACTGGCCTCTCATTCTCCAGACCACCCCTGCCCTCCCATTCCCCATGCTGCTGGTAGCCTTGTCTTTCTAAAATACAAACCTGATCAAGTCCCTCCCTCCCTTAAATCGTTCAGTGACTTCCTGCCACTGCACTAAGTCCCTGAAGTGCTTTAGGCCCCTGGGGGTGGTAGGAGGGAGGACCCAGCAGTGCTGAGGTGGGGGCTTTACAGAGTCTGTAGAAACACTGCTTCTCTGATCTCTGGCTACAGAGCTCCTCACTGAAGCAGTGGCTGCTCATTCCCTTCTGCTCCCACTCTCTCCTGCCCTTGTAGCCTGCTGTGGAACGGGAGCAGGGTCACAGTGAAGGAGCTGCATCTTCCCACCCACCCGCACTGCCGCAGGCTGCGGCTGGCTGACTTGTTAATTGCTGAGCTAGAGCACAGCAGGTGAGAAGAAAACCCAAGAGCATTTCAGACCCAAGTTCAGGGCTGTGCAGGGCTGTGCCTGAGGGTGGAGACCAGCCCCCTCAGCCTCAGCATTTCCTCGTTGTAGGTTGATTTGACTTCCCAGGGCTGCCAAGAAAGAAAAAGAACTCATGAATAGCCTGAGTGTGGGGATGGTGGTGGTAGGGTTCTGTCAGCTGATCAACTCCCCATAACACATGTCTCTGAGGTGCAGCCTTCAGGCCTGGCTGGCTCTTCTGCAGCCCCTGAGGCCCACCTTATTTTGGGCCCTGTGCCCATCAGGTCAGCATGTGCAAGCCTATCTTCATAGAGCATGGCTCTGCTGGAGACCCACGTGTCTGAGGAACCATGTCTCTCCTTTGAGGACACACTGATGGGTCTCAGTACCTTAAGTTTCCTGTGGCTCAGGGGTTAATCTTTCAAAGGAGCAGGAAATCCATCCTCGGTTTCATACCAGGGCTGCTGAGACCTTGGAATAGGCCCTGGCTCATCGAGGTCTCTCCTGAGGAAATCACTCAACTCCTGTAAAGCCAGATCCTTCCTTTTGGGGAAGTCATCCTAAAGGGACTCAAGGGGGCTGGAAGGGCTCATAGACGCAGCATGGATTTTTTTTTTAATATTTATTTATTTATTGCTGTGTCACGTCTTATTGCAGCATGCGGGATCTTCCTTTGCGGTGCACGGGCTCAGTAGTTGCAGCACGTGGGCTCAGTTGCCCTGTGGCACGTGGAATCTTAGTTCCGTGACCAGGGATCAAACCCACGTCCCCTGCATTAGAAGGTGTATTCTTAAGCACTAGACCACCAGGGAAGTCCCCACAGCGTGGATTTTGATGTGAGGGTCTATGACCTTGGGCCTGACATCTCCCTAACCTTGGTTTCCTCATCTCTAAAATGAGTTTAACTATAATGATACCTTTCTTGCAACTGGTTGTTAGGATCAAGTTGATGTATGTAAAGTGCCTTGCTTAGTAGCTCTTAGTGACATTGTCGTTGATGACCCTAAGCCCTCAGGTTCTGATCAGTGAAAGGTCTAGGGTTCCACCAACAGAGACCCCTACTCCCACCCCATCCCCCTTTCTTGGAAGAACATTCTGTGCAAATAGTATTTGTTTGGAGTGCGTTCAGGGTGCCAAGAAGAAAGGAAAGCGCCCATCTTCCATCATGTCCTCTTCCCTCTGCCTCATCGGAAGCCTCCTTCCCTCTGCAGCAAGTTGCGGCACCCTCACCTGCTACAGCTGATGGCTGTGTGCCTGTCCCAGGGCCTGCAGAAGACCCGCCTCGTGTACGAGCGCGTCACCGTCGGCACGCTGTTCTCTGTCCTCCATGAACGGGTAAATGGCCGTTTCCCTGGGTTTTTCCCTTGCTCTCCCCCACGCCCCACCCCAGCTCTCCCTTTCCTTCCTCCCTCTTCCTTCTCCCCCAGCAGGAGAGTTGAGAAACCTCTTAATTCTTTACTCTGTGGGAGCTATATAACACACCATTTAAGGATGATCGGCACGTTGGAACTAGTGTGATTTTATTACTGTTTGTCTTGCTTTTTTATCAGACATCTAAGAGCTCAGTAGACCCAGAAAACACATAGCCACACTTTTAGCTAACTATAATCAAACAGCCTCTGGTCTGTCTTCCCGGTATTTTCACTGGTGCCCTGCAGGACCTTTATATGCAAGTCTTTATCAGTCCCCTCTCCGTTTTCAGACTTCCTGGTGGAGGCGGGGACATATTCCCACAGACTCCCTGGGAAACATGCTTTGGGCTGACATGTGGCTTCAGAGAGGTCCTGAAAGATTTGTTTTTCTTTCTCCATGACTTTGTTCTAAAGACCCTGGGCTGGAGTGAGAAGAGACCCTCCAGGAAGGGCTCTTCCCTGAAATGGCTCGCCATTCCTCCTGTCTGAGCACCTCCTGTTAGTGTCCTAGTTCCCTTTCCTCTCCTTGGGTGAGGGTGTTAACTTAAAATGCCACTTCTCTGGGGAGAGACCTGTTATGATTGGGTACTTTGGTGTGAGTGAATTTCTGTCCTCCTAGGATGAACTTTCTAGGTCATCGGACTGTGGTAGGGGATGGAGTGTCCTTTTCGTGTCTAGGTTCTCCCACAGCACAGGCTTGGCTGGGGATGGGGAGCGGGGCAGGTGCATTGCTGGTGGTGGCAGGCCCACTCTGGAGGTGTGTACCAGGCTTTGAGGACTTTTCTCCTCATTTTTCACGGTATCAAGCAGCTTGGCTGAGGGAAAGGAACCCAGGTTTGGAGCCAGGGGCCCTGGGTCAGTGGGACCTTAGGCCGATCACTGGGCTTTAAGTTCCCCAGCTGTAAAATGGGCACACTATGTGGCTGTCGTGAAGATCAGTTGAAAAGACTGGAAACTACAAAGCATTCTACAGTGTCGGGGGCCGCAGTCCCCTTTGTTCTGGTGGTTGATCTCTTGCTTGCAGCGGGCCCAGTTCCCCATACTGCACATGGAGGTGATCGTGCACCTGCTACTCCAGACCTCCGACGCCCTGAGATACCTGCATTCTCGGGGCTTTATCCACCGTTCCCTCAGCTCCTACGCCATCCACATCGTCTCCACAGGGGAAGCGAGGCTGACCAACCTGGAGTACATGATGGAAAGGTGGGTGCACCTCAATCATGATGTCCAAACAGGATCACCCAAAGGGGTGCTTTGCTGTAGAGAGAGAATCTGATCTGGGCTTGACTCCTCATTGGTGGGCTGAGCTGGCTATCCATGGAGGAAGAGGTTTCCCAATGCCTTGCCCTGTCAGCCAAGGTTAGAGGGACTTTAGGGAAGTTATTTCTGCTCAGGACATTCTCATTTTAATAAACATTTAACAAGCATGAGCACACATTAGCCAGCATGTATAAGTTTTCAAAATTTTCTGTGGCTTCACACAACCGAGGTATTTCTCACATTGCACTCTGGTGTGTGTGTGTGTGTGTGTGTGTGTGTGTGTGTGTGTGTGGGAGGGGGTGGTGGCAGCATTCACTATGTCCCACGTTCCTCCCCGCTGTGGCTCCGCCATCCCCCAGGCCTCAGTCCCCCCACTGTATCCTCTGCATTGCTGGTCAACGAGCAAGAGCAAGCCTGGAGGGACACGGCGGGGCTTAGGGACTACCTGCAGTGTGTGCATTGTCGCTTCCCACTTTACATTGGCCAGAGCCCAGTCACCTCTTTGCAGGGAGGCTGGGAAATGCACCACAGCTGTGCATCCTGGAAGGAGCGAGAAGGCGATGGGTGCTGGTGAGCATTATGGTCCTGGTCCAGATGGGTGGGGATCAGTGCTGTGAGGGAAGCAGTGACAAAAAACAACGCCCTTATTCAAGGGTTGGTGGATGGGCTTCACTTCCCATTTGGCAGGAGTCAGAGTCCTCCTGAGAGTTGAGGGCTGGCCCCCATCTCCTGCCCCTAGGTTCTGGGGAGGAGAGAATCTCCCCTGTGCTTCCTTGCTGTCGTCCACAGCTCTGAGCCCTAGGCCCAGCGTTGTTCCTATGCTGCTGTGAGGCCTCAGCCACGGGCAGACCCATGGATTAGATCTGCTTACCTCCACTTACCCTGGTCCTTACCTACCACCATCACTGAGGCTTTGTTTCTGAGTCTCTCAGCAGGTCTTTGCTGCTCACATGCTCATAATATACTTCTCTCACGACATGAAAACCTCTACAAGGGCAGGGATTTCTGTTTTATCAGCTGCCATGTCTCAGATGCCTAGAATAAGCCCCACACAGTGGGAGCTCAGCATGTTTTTTAAATGAATGAATTGGAAAGACTCTCACTTCCTTGACCGCATGAGCCCTTGGTCTCTCTGCCTGGAGAGGGGAGCAGGGACCAGATTGTGCTTGACCTCATGGACCTTGGCAAAGAGTTTGAATTTAACCCTAAGAACACGGGGATGCTGTGAAAATGTTTTATTTTGAGCAGAGTGGTGTCATGGCTGAAATTTACAGGTTAAGCAGACCCCTTCACTCCTGCCATGTGGAGAAGGGGCTGTGACGGGACGAGAGAGAAGCAGGGGAGCAGTTAGGGTGTGACTGGAGCAGTTTTCCATGTGGGAGCCGGTGGAGGCCAAACAGCTGTCGCCAGTTGAGTGGCTCAGTCTCAGATCTGGTCCATTCTCAATCCCAGTGGCTCCCATGGCCTAGAAGATTAAGTTCCGGCACTTTGCAGGGTGAGAAGCCTTCCAAGGTCGGGCTCTGCCTACAGTGCCATGCTCATCACTTCCCACTCTGCCTGGCCATCTGAAGACACTTTCAGTCCACGCCATTTCCCAGCGCTCTGCTCCTTGCCTCCGGAGTACCTGACCCTCCCTTTTATCCTTTTAAACTCACTTCTGACACAGTCTCCCACCACACCCCGTGAAGCCTATACTGAAGCCTGTCCCCACCTCACTGAGCACATTTCAGTCCCCTGCAGCCGAGTGTCTCTGCCCCCCCAGATGGCGAGCTCCGAGAGGGCAGGGACCATGAGTTGTTCATCTTTAGCACCCACCTCAAGCCTGCCACACAGTAAGTGCTCAGGAAGCATTTGAAGTGAATGGATGAGTCTAGCTGAAGGGAAACCTTGAAATGATTCAGAACAGGCTTCACCACTTTGGCTGTGTGTTGAAGGGCAGTAGAAGCTAAGGGATTTGGACATTTTTGCTGTTGCTAACAGGCTTTTCAAGAAGGCTGACAGAACCCAAGCTGTTTGCCAGTGATGCGGCGCCATCTGTTGTTGAAATGGAGGTATAACAGTTTCTTTGACTTGAGCTCTCCAGTAGAAATGTGAATCCTAGAGTGAAATGGAGCTTTGGAGATGGCCAGGCCCAACGCTGTCCTTTTATAGAAGAGGAAACTGGGGCCCAGAGAGGTGAAGAGGTGGTCTGAGGTTACCCAGCTGTGGCTAGAATCAGGTGGTAGAGGACGTTTCCTGGCTTATAGGGGCAGGATGGATTGGAGGTTGAAGGTAGAAAAACCAGCCAGGAGGCCACAGGGCAGGGCCTGGTGGTGACCAAGGAACCAAAATAGAAGGGAAAGATGTGAGATACACCGAGAAGCTAGGGTCCACAGACTGGTCAAGTGAGGGGCTGTGAAGTAAATGGGTAGGAAAGTGTGAGTTCTTTTGGGCTTGTTGACCTCAGAATGGAACTTTGGGCAGAAATGTCCATCAGCAACATTTGACAGCTCATAATGTGAGTTGATTACCCAAGAATACAAAACAGCTTTCAGTTCTACATTTATTTTTGGTAGCACTCTACTCAGGCTGGTACAGTTGTTGAATGTCATTGTTAAGGGTAGCACTCCATCTCTTGGTGTAAAAATGATACAGCAGTTTCTCCTATTCTTCAACTCCTTCGTAATGGAATCTTTAGAGCTGGAATTGACCTTGCAAGTGGTATCACATAGCCATAGCCAAATGTAATTTTAATGATGTCAAAGGTGAAGCCCAGCAAAATAACTACCATGGAATGACAGCCAGAAAAGAAACTCCCTTCCTACACCCCGCTAGCGTTAACGGAGAAGGAAGAGGGATCAGCAGAGTGGAAGTAAAAGAGAAAGGATATAAATCCTGATCGTAAATAACTTGTCCCTTGCCTTAGGCCGCCTGAGAGGCCCAAGAGGGTCAGTAAGTGTCTCCTTTGGACAGTCAGCCTACAAGGTGAAGAGCCAAGTATGCTAGGTCCTCAGAATATATCTCTGACAATAAAACACGCCATTGCTTTTCCTGTGATACTGATATAATATTTGCACGTGTATCCATGCTGTTCACATGACACCTAGGTCACACTTGCCTATTGAGCAATACAACTAAAGAGTCTAAATGTACCATCTTTTTTTTAAAAAAAGAGAGAAAACAAAACAAAAATACAGTCTTTTATAGCTTCATGGCTTCCTGAACTCATTGCCGTCTGTCAAAAGTTCTACCGGAAGAAATATTACTTAGGGAAGTTTGTTCAAAGTCTGAGAAGTCCATCCCATCCTCTAAAAGCTTTTCTTTGCCAGCAAAAAGAACTTCTGGTTACTTGCTTTTTAGGAACTTAATTTTTTTTTTTGGCCACACTGCACGGCTTGCAGGATCTTAGTTCCCCGCGGGAGACTGAACCCGGGCCCCAGCAGTAACAGCGCCGAGTCCTGACCACCGGACCTCCAGGGAATTCCCAAAAACTTAATTCTTAATTATCAACCAGCAGTCACCAAGTCTTTACCAAATGCCTACCATAATGTTCATATTAATTCCTTACTTGCTTAGTGCTTTATGGTTCACGGAGTGTTCCCACACGTGTGATCTCATTTGATGCTCATGACAGCTGTGGGCAGAAGTCAGCGCTGATCACCCTGAGGACTCTTTGTGGCCCAGAAGACATTTAGGATACTCTGACTTAGTTCTCAAAGAGCCTGGTTGCGAAGTTGAGTTATTCAAGCCAATCAGTGAACCTTTGAGTGCTAAACTGAGAGGGCTCATTCCCAAGAGGGCAGAGCTCAGAAAAGAAGCAATCACGAAGAGCTGGAAGAGTCTCAGAAGGCTTTGATAAAGCAGGTGGGGCTTGAGGGGGTTCTTGAAAGAGTCTTAGGTTCATTTAATCAAAAGGTAAGCATAGAGGCCCTGGTATAAGTTTAGAGATACGGTGATATAAGAGACAGATAAGTGGCCTACCCTCGTGGAGCTGACTTTGGTGGAGGGGAGACAAATCATAAATAATAAATCAATGGACAAGAAATTCAGATAATAAGTGCTCTGAAGCCCATAAATTGGGACTACTTTACATTAGGTGGTCAGGTAAGTCCTCTCCGAGGAGATGATTTTTGAGCTAATACTTTTTTTTTTTTTTACATCTTTATTGGAGTATAATTGCTTTACATTGTTGTGTTAGTTTCTGCTGTATAACAAAATGAATCAGCTATACATATACATATATCCCCATATCTCCTCCCTCTTACGTCTCCCTCCCACCCGCCCTATCCCACCCCTCTAGGTGGTCACAAAGCATGGAGCTGATCTCCCTGTGCTATGCAGCAGCTTCCCACTAGCTATCTGTTTTACGTTTGATAGTGTATATATGTCCATGCCACTCTCTCACTTCGTCCCAGCTTACCCTTTCCCCTCCCCGTGTCCCCAAGTCCATTCTCTACCTCTGCGTCTTTATTCGTGCCCTGCCCCTAGGTTCTTCAGAACCTTTTTTTTTTTTTTTTTGAGATTCCATATATATGTGTTATGAGCTAATACTTTAATTACAAGAAGCAGCCAGTCATGCTAGGATCTGTGGGCAGAGCATGCCAAGCAGAAGAAGCCACCGGTGCAAAGACCTGAAGCGGTGATGTATTTGGCATGCTGGAGAAACGGAAAGAGGGCCTCTGTGACTTGAGAGGAGTAAATGAGCAGGAGAGAGCAGCCAGATGAGGTGGGAGGCAGGACAGGGCCTGCTCGGGTAGGAACGGTAAGGAGTTGCAGGTGTTGGAATAGCAGGCAGTGTGGGTTAGCTCAGGGTCTAGCTGGTTTCTGGAAGCTCAAGGAGGTTGTCAATCTTCAGAGGCAAATGTTTCACACATGTGCGGCGTGGTGATCACAGTGATCCTTTAAGACATGAGCCCTACTTTGTGTTTCCTTCTGTAGCCGGGATGGAGGTGTACACAAGGACCTGACTCGAGTATCCCTCCCCACCCAGCTTTACAACTGGGCCGCCCCGGAGGTGATCTTACAGAAGGCAGCCACAGTGAAGTCAGACATCTACAGCTTTTCTGTGATCATACAGGAGATTTTAACAGGTAGATCAAAGAGCTCATTGACGGTGACCAAAGTCCCTATTCTTAGGTTGGATTTTTTTTCCCCCAAGAGTTACTTAGTTTTATGAAAATGCAGGACACAGGCAAAAAAAACTTCTTTAAGGAAACCTCTTTGGGTTTATGGAAGGTATAAGATGATCTCCCAGAAATCTTTCTCTTTTAACCTGTTCTTTAAGACTCAGCAAAGCCCACCTATCAGCCTGTCAGTGGTAATGCATTTAATCCAAGGAGCGTTTTTAAACTGAATATTGCTGTCAATGCTTAGGGGTCTCTGTGAGGTGCCCCTTAAGAACCTTTTTTTAAAATTGAAGTATAGTTGATTTACAATGTTGTGTCAATCTCTGCTGTACAGCAAAGTGACTCAGTTATACACATAGAGACATTCTTTTTTTGTATTCTTTTCCATTATGGTTTCTCATACTGAAAAACCATATTGAATATAGTTCAATATTTTTTTTTTAAAAGAAGATGTTGGGGGTAGGAGTTTATTAATTAATTTATTTTGCTGTGTTGGATCTTCGTTTCTGTGCGAGGGCTTTCTCCAGTTGTGGCAAGCGGGGGCCACTCTTCATCGCGGTGCGTGGGCCTCTCACTATCGCGGCCTCTCTTGTTGCGGAGCCCAGGCTCCAGACTCGCAGGCTCCGTAGTTGTGGCTCACGGGCCTAGTTGCTCCGCGGCAGGCATGTGGGATCTTCCCAGACCAGGGCTCGAACCCGTGTCCCCTGCATTAGCAGGCAGACTCTCAACCACTGCGTCACCAGGGAAGCCCTGTAGTTCAATATTGAATATAGTTCCCTGTGCTATACATTAGGACCTTGTTGTCTATCCATTCTAAATGTAATAGTTTGCATCTACCAACTCCAAACTCCCTTCCCCCATCCCTTTTGGCAACCGCAAGTCTGTTCTCTATGTTAAGAACTTATAAACAAGGGGAAAGGACTGGCTTCTGAGAAGTAAACTGTGAAATCAAACACACCCAGAATCCAGCGTATGTATAAGCAGTGTCACTTAAAAGACATAGAAACCCTTCCAAACGTATAGAACTCTAAGGTGAAGGCATACATACCACATTCACTAAGAGGGTGAGAGTCAGCCCCCATTTAGCAGTGTTTACAGTCTCAGAGGCAAAAACCACACACCTTCCATGACATGAATGTATTGGGCAAGCCTACTTGACACCAGGAAACATTCCCTTGTGGTCCCCAGGTCTGCCAGCAGAGAGTCCATACCTACATGAGTCTGACACTATTTTTTCCTATCTCTGTGGCAGGGATTTCCCTGTTATTTGGGTCAAGTGGTTTCTCCTTTGTTATTGGGCTTCCGGTAGTTTTTCTACAGAAAGAAATTAATTTTAAAGAGGTTGAGTGACTTGACAAAGGTTAGACAATTTCATGTGATTTCTTAATGTCTCTCCTTCCTATGGCTTTTTCCTTAACAGACAGCATACCCTGGGATGACTCAGATGGCTCAGTTATTAAAGAAACCATGGTGTTGGGAAATTATTTAGAAGCTGATGTCAGGCTTCCGAAACCTTACTACGACATTGTTAAGTCAGGCATCCAGGTCAAGCAGAAAGACCGAACTATGAACCTTCAAGATATCCAGTATATTCTGAAAAATGACTTAAAGGTAAGCTGTGAAGTTGTTGGGAGTTTATTTCTGCTTACCTATCTCAGGGGATAGGGAGTTAGAGACCAAGAAGAAGCTAGAGACCAAGTTGTAGGATATTTTGGAAATCCTCATTTCATTACACCCTTTCTGTGTTCCCAAGAAAATTCTAACTGCCTAACTTGGTGAGGGCAGCAGGGAATTGTGGAGGGAGGCTGCAGAGTGTCAGTACGTAAAAGGGACACCCTGTAGGCACACAGTGCGATTCAGTGAATGACAGCTACTGTTACTACTTTTCTTAAAAATTTATTTTATTTTTTTTTTTGTATTTTTGGCTGCATTGGGTCTTTGTTGCTGCACGTGGGCTTTCTCTAGTTGTGGCGAGTGGGGGCTACTCTTCGTTGCGGTGAGCAGGCTTCTCATTGCGGTGGCTTCTCTTGTTGGGGAGCACGGGCTCTAGGGGCACGGGCTTCAGTAGTTGTGGCACACGGGCTCAATAGTTGTGACTCGCAGGCTCTAGAGCGCCAGCTCAGTAGTTGTGGTACACAAGCTTAGTTGCTCCGCGGCATGTGGGATCTTGCCAGACCAGGGATTGAACCCGTGTCCCCTGCATTGGCAGGCAGATTCTTAATCACTGTGCCACCAGGGAAGTCCCTGTTATTACTTTTTAAATATTGGTAATTAACAGTTAATTCCTTTATCAGGACTACAGTCAGTCTACCCAACAGGGGTAACAGGGGGTTTATTTGACACCTAGATATGTTTCTAAAACACCAGTGACATTCAGATGATTGTAGATATGTGCTTGCCAGTACCTCCCTTGTTACAGGATTTTATTGGAGCCCAGAGAACTCAGCCAACCGAGAGTCCCAGGGTGCAGAGATATGAACTCTACCCTGATGTCAATGTCTGTTTAGGAGTGACTTCAGAACATCCATTGCAAATAAAAGAGCTGAAGGAAGCAGGTATGGCCTTAACCCACAGGTTTTGACATGAATGTGTTCTGAGAGCTGTAACTAATCAACTCCTCCAAACTATACTCATAACTTATACTGGGAAGGATGGATGCCTTAGGGAAAAATCAAGATCCTTAAAATTATTAAGTTAAACTTTTTGGGCTCCATATACACCTTGATTGGATCCAGAACTGTGCAGTAACAATCTGTTTCTTTCTAGTACGATTTAGGAATGTATTTGTTTCACAAATAAAAATGGTGATTTTAAAATTTAAAACTATTGTCTGCTCATTATAGAAAATTCTAAACAATACAAAGAAGATTACTTAACATTTTAATTCGTCAGAAATAATTTGTTAACATTTTGGTGTTTCCTTCCAACCTTTTTTCTAAAGCCTTACTGCTTTTTAGTACACTTGGAAACCTTAGAACTCTGAGCTGGAAAGGACCTTGCAATCATCTGCCTTGATGCCCTCATATTCCAGATGCGAAAACTAAGGTTCAGAGAGGTTGTGGCTTGCTCACAATTCCAGGTTTATTACGCAGCTGGAGCATAGGCCTTTGGATTCTAGCCAAGTGACTATTCTCTGACTCTTTGGACAGGCCTGGAAGCCTCCAGAATGGCCCTCCAAGCTCTTATTACTTTGGCTCCTTCGACCCATTCTCTGCGAGCTGTACACCATCAACCAGGGGTGGTGGGTAGTCAGTCCTAGAGTTATTTTTTGAGGTATTATCTCTCTCAGTGCAGTGGCTTCTTGGGCAGTGTCTCAGCTTCTTTTATCAATGCTCACAAAGAGCACAACTTGAACTGACATGAATATTCAAACATCTTTAGTGTAAAGTATGAATTTAGTCCTAAGATTCAGGGGCCTGTAATTTGCTTGTCCTGAAGTTATGCATGTTTTTTTTTTTTTTTTTTTTTTTTGAAAATAAAAATGAACTTAGACCTTATCTTATACTATACACGAAATTTATTTCAACATGGATCCTAAATCTAAATGAAGGAGCTAAAAAAAAAGAAAAAAACCGGGCTTCCCTGGTGGCGCAGTGGTTGAGAATCTGCCTGCCAATGCAGTGGACACAAGTTCGAGCCCTGGTCTGGGAGGATCCCACATGCCGCGGAGCGACTGGGCCCGTGAGCCACAATTACTGAGCCTGCACGTCTGGAGCCTGTGCTCCGCAACAAGAGAGGCCGCGACAGTGAGAGGCCCACACACCGCGATGAAGAGTGGCCCCCGCCTGCCACAACTAGAGACAGCCCTCACACAGAAACGAAGACCCAACACAGCCATAAATAAATAAATTTTTAAAAAGAAAAGACTAATTTTAATAAAAACAGGAGAAATCTTTGTGACCTTGAATTAGGCAAAAAGTTCTGAAACACAAAATCAAAAGTATAAGCCATAAAACTAAAAAATGATAAATTAAACTTCATTGAAAACTTTGCACTTCAAGGACACCATTAAGAATAAAAACAAAACAAGCCACAAACTGGCAGAAAATCTTTGTACATCTCTGATAAAAGACCTTTATCAGGAATATATAAAAAACTTCCACAACTCAATAAGAAAAAAAAAAACACAGCTAAAAAAATGGGCAAGCGCCTTAAATAGATGTTCCACCAAAGAAGACTTAATAAATGGCTAATAAGCACATGAACAACTCAACATCATTTGTATTTAGGGAAGTGTAAATTAAAATCACAAGACTCTACTAGTCACCCAGTGGAAGGGCTATAATCAAAAAGGCAGATGATACCAAGTGCTGATGAGACTGTGGAGAAACTGGAACCCTTGTACATTTTTGATTGGAATGTAATTGGTCACTTTCGAAAAGAATTTGGCAGTTTCTTAAAAGATTAAAAACTAATTCTGAACTGTTGTTAGAACACTTCTGTAGAGTTTTCCTCACATCAACTAATTCTCCAACTATCCTCCATACACCAACTTGAGTGTCCTAAATTTTTTTCTTTTTTAATATTTATTTAGTTTGGCTGCACTGGGTCTTAGCTGCAGCACATGGGATCTTCGTTGTGGCATGTTTCACTTGCGGCATGCGGACTCCTTAGTTGCAGCATGCATGTGGGATCTAGTTCCCTGACCAGGGATCGAACCCGGGCCCCCTGCATTGGGAGCACCCAGTCTTAACCACTTCGCCACCAGGGAAGTCCCCCAAATTTTCTATCTCAACCCACGTCAAAGTAGTTAGAAATACCCTCTCACCCTCTGTGTGTGTATCTGGTAGTCTTCCTAACTGGAAAGGGAGTGGGAAGATAAAAAGCTTTTTTCTGTGTTCTCATGCTGCTCGAGCAACAAGCCAAGGCTGCTGAGCTGCTGCAATCACTTTAATCAGCGGCATGTTGCTACTCTTTTCGGCAGGTGGTCAGCTTCATTCACCAAGGGGTCACTCCATTCCCACCAAGAAAGCAACACCAGAGCCTCTGGTCCCAGACCCAAGTCTGGAGGCCCAGGAGACACAGAACCAAGACACTGCTTCTCCTGCTTGCTCTGTGGGGGACGAGGCCAGGAGCCCCAGCCCAGGTCAGGCGAGCCTCTGCAGCTTCGAAATCAATGAAATCTACTCAGGCTGCCTGGACATGGGAGAGGACAAAGAGGAAGAGCCCCCAGGAACTGGTTCGTCTCTTGAGGGGGCCAGACAAAGCCGGGTAGACGAACTGAAGTCCACGGAAGAAGAGTTGGAAAGGATGGAGAGAGGGGCGTGCTGTTTTCGCCATGAGGACAGCAGCTCTTCAGAAGCTGACACGCAGCTCTCCTTTGAGGACTGGGGCTGGCAGAGTGGTTCACTGAGTTCACCCAGCCTGCCTGAGCCAGCCAGAGGAGCCAAGGGCAACGCGAGCAGCAGGTCCCTGACTGAGCAGTACATCAGTAAGTGTGTGCTGAACCTAAAGATTGCACAGACCTTAATGCATCAGAATGCCAACTTGCTGAGGAGTACTCAACAGAAAATAGATAAGCTTGAGATGATACAGAAGGAGCAGGAGGGCAGGTCTCTGTGGGCTTCCTCAAGAGAGTTTGCAAATGGCTATGACTGGCCTTCAGCCCTGGGCCCCCCAGCTTCAAGCTATATTCCTCCTGCCATGCAGCTGCCAGGGGACCTGCAGCCGGACACTGAGGGCAACTGCCCGACCCTAGCAAAGTCTCCAAGAACAATGAGAGACTTTCAGGGAGGACATTTTGGCAAAAGGTCCAAGAAAAGAAGCAGCTGTGGCTGGACACCTTTCACCCATTTCCCCCAAGTCCCTGAAGAAAGCACTAGGGATCAGTCGGAGAAGGGCCAACAGGTAAGGCTGAGAAGTGGGGGCAGGGCAGCATAAGCAGGATCTGGAGCCGGGTTCAGCCTTGCTCCTAACCTGCGAGCAAGGACTGACATCAGCACAGCCAACTCACAGTGGGGTCCTCTTGGCTTTGGGAAGTAAGGCCTCTAGGTTGGAATTCCAAGATAACTCTTCACCTCCTGTTCCAAATCCAGCACGCAGCCCATGTCCTTCTCTGTAAATTCAGAGAAGTTTGAACCATGTGAAATTGTTGTTCTAGAGGTTAAAATAATCAAGTATTGACACTTTTATATAGTTCAGCTCACCAAATATGGTATCTTGGGCAGGTATTAATCCCCATTTTAAATTGCTTATTAATTAATTCATTCACTCATTCAACAAACATTTATAGAGCAAGAGGCTATTTATTAGACCCTGGGATATTATGATGAATGAACCACAAGCTCTACTATGAGTATCTCAGACACCAGTGGGGGACAGAGGGACTCGATAGTCAAAGAAGATGCCTCAGAGGATGTGAGAAACCATGGGTTGAAGAGTGGTTCCTCCATGAGCTTCCTAAGGACAACAGGTCTTACTCATGCTGTGTCCCCACACCAAGAAGGGGGCCTAGCACGTAGAAGGTACTTGATAAACAGTCATTGAGGGAAGGACTAAACGAATGAATCTGAGCAAGTTCACACATGCAGAGCTGGCTGCCTCTTGAATCAGAATTTTAGAGGTGGATCGAGCCCATCCTTTTACAGAGTGTGAAGCTCAAGCTCAGAGACTTAAACTTTCCAAGATCCACTGGTGTGGCTGAGAGCGGGGTGGAGTAGGAGAGGTCAGCACCATTGGAAGGAAGATCTTATTACTAAAATTATTTAGAGTTGCTGGCTCATGGTAATAAAAAGCAGGCTTTTGGTGAGTTTTATTATTGTTTTAAAATCCTCCACCTGCAGTGCACCCACTTAGGCCTGCACAGGGCAGACGACTCCCACTTAACCCCCATGCCTTGCTGCGCTACTGCCGAGGCCCACAGCTGGTCAGGGGCAGGTTTCTGACTCCCGGTCTAGTGCTGTTTCACTGTTCCTTGCTGAATTTCGGTGAGGCTTCAGTCCTCACTTAGAACATTTGGAAAAGCCTTGGCATTTGTTTTTATGTAAAAAGGAGGCACAAAGAATTTACTTAGATTCTTAATTTTTCTGTTTCTATTGGAAGTTAGAGTTTGCTAGAAAACCATTAGAAATAACTTTTATTGTATACTGTGTTTTGGTTACCTATTGCTGTCCGACAACAACAACAAAAGCCCAAACTTAGTGACTTACAATAACAATGTTTTATTATTTCTCATAATTCTGTGGGTCAGGAATATGACAGGGCTTAACTGAGTGATTCTTCCATTCCATGTGGCACCGGCTGGGATCACCCCCTCGACTGCATTCAGCTGGAGGCTGGGCTGGGCAAGAAGGTCCAAGAAGGCTTCACTTACCTGTCTGGTGCCTTAGGCTCCCCCAGAGGGCCTCTCTCTGCGCTTGGCTTTTCATTCACCCAAGCTTCTCTGCAGCATGGCAGCTGGCTTCCCAAGTGAAAGCTGAAGCGGCCAGGCCTCTTAAAAACTAGGACAGTGTCACTTCTGCTGCTCTTCTGTTGGTCAAAGTCATGAATCCAGCACAGATTCACGGGGAGGGAAGTAGATTCCAGCTCCCAAATGGCAGGGAGGGAAGGAATTGATGACAGCCATTGTTGGAAGCCACCTACTAGTACATGAGACTATGTGGAAAACAATTATACCGTATTTCAATTGTTCTTTAAAAAGTGTACCCTGGTTTTCTAGTATAATCAGGAGTAAGGCATTTTCACCTAAATGATTTTTTCAGACAGTTGAAATTCATTCTTTTAATTTCTCCATTCTCAAATTTTTAATCATACTGAATGAAAACATTACAAACTTCCCATTATTCTAAATACCTATTTTGGATATATTCTAAGTATATTCTGGCCTTTCCTTGGTGACCGTGACATTTTTCTGAACATCTGTTACTGTGATGTTCCATGATACAATGCTGCCGCCACATAAGAGCCTCTGGAGGTCATATTCCAGAGAGATTATGATCATTTTTATGTATCTTCTCACCTTTAGGCATCTTGCTGCCATCCCCAAATCTCACATTTGTTGCCTTAATAGGTTAGGAAATATAATTAACTAAGTTTGTTAAAAGTGGAGTAAGCAGATCCCGAAGTCTTTCTTTTAGGTAAAGGGCATAGGCTTTCATTTATTTTGTTTCTACTATTTCCGAAGTATTGTGGCCTTTTTTTGTTGTTGTTTTATTTTCATAGCATCCCCCTGGTGGATTTAGGTAGATATTATTGTCCCTGTTTTATGGATGAGGAAACTGAAACATAAGGCTCTCTTAGGTTAGTCTGAGCAAAGGTCAGACTAGAACCCAGGGCCTGGGGCTCCTGCCACAAAACCTGCTGCCTTAATATAGGGGAAAGTTTTGGGATTTTTTAAAAAAAATAAATTTATTTATTTATGTATGTATGTATTTATATTTTTGGCTGCGTTGGGTCTTCGTTGCTGCACGCGGGCTTTGTCTAGTTGTGGCGAGCGGGGGCTACCCTTCGTTGCGGTGCGCGGCCTTCTGATTGCGGTGTCTTGTTGCGGAGCACAGGCTCTAGGCGTGCGGGCTTCAGTAGTTGTGGCGCTCGGGCTCAGTGGTTGTGGCACGTGGGCTCCAGAGCGCAGGTTCTGCAGTTGTGGCGCACGGGCTTAGCTGCTCCGCGGCATGTGGGATCCTCCCGGACCAGGGCTCGAACCTGTGTCCCCTGCATTGGCAGGTGGATTCTTAACCACTGAGCCACCAGGGAAGTCCAAGTTTGGGGATTTTTGAGGTCTATTTTGTCTGCTCCTTCTCCACTTGTGCCCTGTTCAGCCTGGAGTCCTGGGGGCCAACATTTCTATGTAGAGGCCTCCAGCTAAGAGATGCGTTACTAGATGTGAAACATGCAAAATGAAATTGTCTTGAGAGGTCTGGTTAGTTCTACACACTTAGCGAGAATGGCTTTAAAAATAGAATGTGAAGGGACTTCCCTGGTGCGCAGTGGTTAAGAATCCGCCTGCCAATGCAGGGGACACGTGTTTGAGCCCTGGTCTGGGAAGATGCCACATGCCGCGGAGCAGCTAAGCCCATGCGCACCACAACTACTGAAGCCCACACGCCTAGAGCCCATGCTCCACAACAAGAGAAGCCACCACAATGAGAAGCCCGTGCACCGCAACGAAGAGTAGCCCCCGCTCATGGCAAAAAAAAAATATATATATATATAGATAGATAGATAGATAGATAGATAGATAGAATGTGAGAGTGAAGGGAAGAGGAATTCCTTCATCAAAGCACTGAAACATGTCTACTGATTTTTAAGCTGCCATCTCTTTGTGGTCCTGGAAAACAGAGCAGAGGTGAACAGTTTCAGCCCACTCACGGAGCCAAGGACACTTTGGAAAGAAACAGGAACCAAAATACCAGCAGGTGGGTTAACATTGTATTGTTCTTTGTGTCACCATGTCTTTAGACTCCCATGTGACCCTGAGGCTACTTAATGATCTTCATATGTCTAGTGACAAAGAGATTGTGAGAGATGAGGCATAGTAACACAGAAACAGATCTTGGCAAGTTCTCTCCGTTGCGTAAGTGAGAATAGTGGTATAATGGAGACTTGCAGGGGACATCAAGTGGCTGGCAGGTTAGCCACACAGAACTCATCAGTTGTCAAAAGCAAAGCATCCTGCCTTTCTGAAACTGCCCAGATTGTGGGTTTTTTTTTTTTTTTGGTTGCACGGCACAGCATGTGGGATCTTAGTTCCCCAACCAGGTACTGAACTTGCAACCCCTGCATTGGAAGCACAGATTCTTAACCACTGGACCACCAGGGAAGTCCCCAGATTGTTTTTCTTATAAAAAGAATTGCCAAGTATTCCATGCACCAGTGCTACAGAAACCAAGCTATGTGAAAACCAGTGTTGTTCAAAATAAGCGTCACTGACTCTGGGGTACAGAAGGAGGGGGTTGAACAGAATCATTGTTACCTTGCGGCCTCTGATTTTTAGCCAGATCAACAAAATGAATTGGTTTCAGCACAAATCACCAGAAGGAGAGCGTATGCATACGCTGGGTTTTTAAGAACTTAGGTAAAACAAATTTTATTTTGCATAAGAGGAATTATTATTATTTTTTAAATTATTTGTTTATTTATTTATTTAGGCTGCACTGGCTCTTAGTTGCGGCATGCGGACTCTTAGTTGCATAATGCAGACACTTAGTTGTGGCATGAGAACTCTTGGTTGTGGCATGTGGACTCTTAGCTGTGGCATGCATGCGGGATCTAGTTCCCGATCAGGGATCGAACCCAGGCCCCCTGCATTGGAAGCACGGAGTCTTACCCACCGGACCACCAGGGAAGTCCCTGCATAGGAGGAATTATTAATGGAGCAATAAATGTTTTTCAAGATAGAGTATTATATCAATTTAGTTTTCCTTTTCTGTGGTTAAATGGCAACATTAATCCACAGCTTGAAGTCAGTCCTCCTGGAAAGAAAATTTTGTTCCTACCCCCAGTGGTGACTAAAACTAATGACAAATTTGCTGTTCCATTCATTTTGGTTAAATATGTACATTAAGGGAGAATCAATGAAAATGCCCAGACATTTTAGATTAGTGTATTTTACCTTTACAAAGGAAATTAACTGAAGAACCACCTAACTGGCATCAGAGAGTTTAGCAGTCACATCATTGACAGAGGCAGATAGGGTGATAGTATAGCCACTGGATGACAAAGCAAAAGCTGTAGTTGTGGCTTCGCCTGCCCAGCTCCACCCTCTTCCCCCAGGAGAACAAAAAACTGACTAAAGAAAAGTTTAGCACTTTGCTACCAATCCACCTAGTCTTTCTGTATGCTTAAAAAAATTGTAATTATATACATGTAGGCAATTTTGTATCCCCAGTTTTTGCTTTATATTAGAACATGGTTATCCCTTGTTATTAAAAACATCCTGTAAACTTACTTTGAAATTGTTGAATTTCCCCCATTGTTGAATTTTAGGTTGTTTTATTCTTTTTTTTGTTTGTTTTCCTGTTATGAATAGGGCTACAGTGACTTGTCAGTAAATTTTTTTTTTTTTTGCATTTTGGGTTATGTCCTTGATAGATTCACAGAAGCAGAGTTACTAGCTCAGAGGGTTTGAACATTTTAAAGATTCTTGATAGCTATTGCCAAATTGCTCTTCAAAGAAACTGATTAGATGTGACCTTTCCAATTCAACAGTCTCTGCACTCTGATCCAGTGGGAGAGTGGGGTATTCTGGATAAAAGGGAATTCACATATATGCCATAGATCACACATTTTCAAAGAGTTAGTTTAATAGGTGATAACATATATATAATCATGGAATATTTAGAGGAAAAAGAAACTCCCTTGTTTTGCAGATGAGGAAACCTTGGCCCAGAGAGATTGAAGTTTGCCAAAGTCAGACAGCTAGCCAGTGGCAGGACATGGTCTCAAACTCAGTGAAACTAGGCTGAAGATCTCTGAATGTTCTTCAGAGCCCCTGGTGCCTCAAGACCATCTTTACAAATGTTAGCTATTGTGCTATCACTGATATGCAGGTGTGCATATTACCAGAGGATTCTGATCAAAGGGCAGGAACAGCTACTGAACCTTCACCTATGTTCTGTGGCCTTGTGGCAGGGCTCTGCTACAGCCCAAGTAACCAGGATTCTGTCTGGTGCAGCTGTGTTTCAGTTGTGGGTCTTCTACCTCGAGATCTTCTAACCCACTCATTTTATTTCTTAGCCAGGGAAGGCCTAGAGAGTCCAGTGCCCGAACCAGAACGACACAGCTCAGTGGTGCACTCCTCACTGTGCCAGGCCACCCACAGGGACCATTCACGTCATCCACCCCTGGCCGAGGCTCTTCCAGGTAGAGCCTTGTGGGCTGAACGTTGGGAAGTCTAGTGCTCCCTGGTGGTGGGTCGGAGTCGGTGCAACCTCAGGAACGGCTCAGTATAGGGGACAGTCCTCTGGGTGGGCTGATGGGCTTGGGGTTGTGCCAGGAACTTGAGCAAACTGATGTGTTTGTGTCCACTCACTCCCTTCCTCCAAATCTATGCAATTCAGGATCAGTATGGAATCTGTGTCTTCTAAAATCTATAACACAAAGTCAAGAAATAATGAAGATGCTGGAGAGATACACTTAAAATGGAAAAGTGAGTATAAAGTCATGGATTCTGTTGAACAAAATGAAATTTAAAGTATCTTTCTAACCTTGTTGTCATCTGTAAGTACACAGTCTGTATTGCATTGTTCTCCCATATTCTTTTCTTTTTCGATCATTCCATCTTAAAAGCAAGACCTTTCTGATTACAAACTGCAGAAGAGAAGTGCTTTATTCATTTCTATACGATTTAGGAAATACTTCTATTTTACATGTGTATACATATATATGTGTATGTATGTTATATAACACATGTAGTAAAAATACACAATATAGATGTTTAATATATAACATTATTAAGGTAGAGAGCTTGCAGTGTCACTTTCACATATTTTGTGGGCATTATCCTTTTGTATCAGTTTAATCTTGTAAGCTTAAAAGGATACAGCATCTATGTTTTTTGATACTAATGCTAAGTGACATTGCAGAAGTATAGAAAATTGGAGTGAAAACACACATGAACACATACATATATACTCCCAAAATATGAGCTCAGTGTGGTCTAGAAAGGCTAGACAAACTCAAATAGAATTCCTTCCGTTAGTCTCTACAGACTAGGGGCTTCAGATGTCATTTTCTTATAAAATCTTCACAGCAAGAAGGTCCATCTACAAGTTTCCTGTTACTTTTTACTCTAATTCAGCAAAATGCACTGTAACTAACTGAAATTCTGCCTTTCCCTTACTCTGTCATCAATTCTCTCCTCTCCTCTGCTTCAGGCCAAGCTAAGGATGATGCAATTCCAAAAAAGCAATCATTGTGACAATATGAGCTATAAAATATGACATAACTCTTTAAGAATCTAAAGCTTTTGTTTCCAGCATTCACGGTGATCTTTTAAACGCTGCTTTCTCTTACAACCAGCGGAGGTGAAAGAAATGGCAGAGAAAGCAGCTACTGGGCAGCTGGCAGTACCTCCTTGGCATCCTCAGAGTAGTGTGACTTTAGAAAATGAGGCTGAAAACAGGCCTGATCCCCTGCTGCAGCCCCCCATTAGGGTCCCTGAGCACGTGGATTGGCGGCAAGCTGTAGAGCATCCCAAGAAAAATGATGAGCCAGGAGGAAATGGCAAGTGTGACAAAACAGACAGCAGTGACCGCAACAGTGACCAGCATGGCAGACAGCCAGTGCCTCAAAGTTTCACCGGTAAGTTCAGTTGGACGAGTCAGGGTAGGTGAGCTCTATCAAGTTGTCAGCTCTCAAAAATAAGTAAACCTCCTAGAATATTTCCTTTGGTCTTCTTTCCTACCTGTCTGGGAATCCTGAATTCCAGGGGAAAGCAGCATACCCTTCTAATCCCAATGTCCTTCAGACAGGTAAAGAAGTCCAGAGATTCATGAGTTTTTCTATTACTGGAGCAGATTCCTTTGTCCAAAGGAAGTAAAATAATCTCCATGCACTGACCCTGGATCTGGGTCTAACCTCACAAAGAATCGAACCTTTTACCTGAGGGCATTGGTGGAAGGCCACTCCCTACTGCCCCCTTCTTTGCGTTGCACTTTAAGCCAGAAAAATTCCAGTGGCTCTCAGAGAGTCTATGCCTGAGGAACTTAGAGACAAACGACATTTACTGTCATCACTTTTAGAGATTTTTAGGTGAAAACTGAAGACTGTGTATTTCTACCTGGTAATTTGCTTGCAATCAGGGCATGGGATATCGTTTCACAGTTGTTTGCAAATCAAAGGAAGGTACATTTAAAATTGTTATTTATCTTAGGTAGAAAATCTATTGGTTTGGATTTTTTTGGTATTTAAAATCTGTTCCTTGTCAAGCATCGCTCTTGAATGGGTAGGCAAAAGGGTGGCTGATCCAGAACCACGTGCTGGGGCCAGACTAGCCTAACAATCTCCACTTTGATTTGACATATGAAACATGGCCACCCTTGGCAGAATATGCCTACATCTCTTCTCTCATGCCACCCTTTGCCCCTTCCATGCCATTTGAATATCACCAAATGACAATGATTGTGTTATAATTATTAGGTACCAGGCACCTGCCCCCCAGAAAAAATGAGCAGCCAGAGCATAGTGAAGTCTTTCAAGAAAATTCTGATGCACCTGTGGTTGTTGAGAAGTCTTACAGCGTAAGTCATACTGCCTGGAGAGCCAACTTGAACCCAAAGACCTACTAGAACTGAGTTGTTATGTATTATGACACTGAAATAATATCTATAGTAGTTCTTTTTGTGGGAGCATGTGCCCTCATGTCTCTGACATGAAAGAAGAAGTCTTTCCTCCCTGCCTGATACTTTTTGAGTTAGTTCAACTCAAAGCATTGTGTATATTGGAGCTTGGGGAAAACACAGACCAGTGTTATATTCAGCTCTGACCCTTGAGCTTTCTGTCAAGTTGGCTAGACAAGACCAACTCTTTTTTTTCTTAATTAATTAATTAATTATTTTTGGCTGTGCTGGGTCTTTGTTGCTGCGCGCAGGCTTTCTCTAGTTGTGGCGAGAGTGGGGGCTACTCTACGTCTTGGTGTGCAGGCTTCTCCGTGTGGTGACTTCTCTTGTTGAGGAGCACAGGCTCTAGGCCTGTGGGCTTCAGTAGTTGTGGCGCACGGGCTTAGTTGCTCCACGGCATGTGGGATCTTCCTGGACCAGGGATCGAACCCATGTCCCCTGCATTGGCAGGCGGATTCTTAACCACTGCGCCACTAGGGAAGTCCCAAGACTAACTCTTAAAGCACGGTCAGTTACCAAAGCTCGTGACTCAGGTCAGATTGAAGTAGGAAAAGCAAGGCCAGGGTTGCAATGGGAGTACCTTCACCTGGAATGTCACCTAAGACCCAAATTCAGCTTTCAACTCAGTGGAAGGAATGTGTTCATGCCTGAAACCTCTGCCTCAGCATGATCTCTGGGATACAGTCGTATCCTAGCATTTGCATTGGGGTTACAACCTTGCTTCAGGGATTTAATGCATTCTTCAAGCATGCAGTTGGGCCATAGTCCAGCCAGAGCAAGGAACCGAAATTTTTGTAATCACCATTGACGTGGGCCCAGGATCATTTAAAGAATATAAACAGCAGCTGAGAATGAAACAATGTAAAAAGCCAGGTGTGATAACATTTGTGGTCTTTCAAAGAACATACTATTGTATTAATCATAGCACACAAACCGCTCACAGGACAATTTATTCTTTCTCTCATGTGAGGGCTGGGAGGATGTGCCACATTCAGCATACTGGCTTGGCTGGAGAATCATCTCTGTCAGGGAAGTGGGGAAGGTATGGGAGGCCAAGCTTGTCTGAGAAGTTTCAGTTTGACAGGAGAGGTTAAGGAAAGCAGCTGCTAAGTGCACAGAGGAGGAAGTATGGCAAAAGCAATGTCTAAGGAAATAAACCACAAAACCTCTGCAAAGGGATGACTGAAGGTGAGGAAAGGAGCCAGTTGTCTGGCCATGTGGTGATCAGGGCCTGAACGTAGAGAAAGAGCAAAAAAGGAAGGGGTAGAGTGGAGATGCTGAAGAAATAACTTACTTTATTTTTATTGCTGAGATTGCATTGCTATTTTAAAAATCATGCTTCTTTTTTTATTTATAAATTTATTTATTTTATTTATTTATTTCTGGCTGTGTTGGGTCTTTGTTGCTGCATGCGGGCTTTTTCTAGTTGCGGAGAGCAGGGGCTACTCTTCGTTGCGGTGCGCAGGTTTCTCACTACGGTGGCTTCTCTTGTTGTGGAGCACGGGCTCCAGGCACACAGGCTCAGTAGTTGTGGCTCGTGAGCTCAGTAGTTGTGGCCTGCGGGCTCTAGAGCGCAGGCTCAGTAGTTGTGGCACACGGGCTTAGTTGTTCCCTGGCATGTGGGATCTTCCTGGACCAGGGTTCGAACCTGTGTCCCCTGCATTGGCAGGCGGATTCTTAACCACTGCACCACCAGGGAAGCCCCCAAAGGGAGTCCCAGTTCTGAGCAGCCTCAGCCTGGAGGACAACACCAACACATGGACTGTATCTAGGCTCTTGAGGATCAGGGTGTTTAAATTCAGTCCCCAGCTTGAGTTGTCTGGGGACTTTTTTCTTCCTGTGAATTTTAGAGCAAAAAGGTCACCCAGCCTCCCCCCACTTCCACTGTGCAGGTAAGGATGTTGAGATTCAGGACTGTCATTTGTCACATTTGCTCCAGGGGGTTCACAGCTCACAGTGGGGAAGGAGGGCCAGAGGTGCAAGCAGGCAGGAAGGTCTCAGAGAGTGTCACCCCGACCGCAGAGTAATTTTTGATACCCCATCATTAACACTGCATCCAGCTATAAAGGGATTTGTTTACAATAAACACCAACTTAAAAGTGATTTCCTACCTCATTAATAGGATCAGTCCGTGCAATCAACTTGTTCACCAGAGTCTACTGAAGACATAACAGATGAATTTTTAACTCCAGACCATGAATATTTTTACTCCTCAACTGCTCAAGAAAACTTGGCTCTAGAGGTAAAAAATTTTTTTTAAATAAATTTATTTATTTGTTTTTTTTTAATTTTTGGCTGCATTGAGTCTTCGTTGCTGTGCCGCGGGCTTTCTCTAGTTGAGGTATCAAAGGGCAGGAACAGCTACTGAACCTTCACCTATGTTCTGTGGCCTTGTGGCAGGGCTCTGCTACAGCCCAAGTAACCAGGATTCTGTCTGGTGCAGCTGTGTTTCAGTTGTGGGTCTTCTACCTCGAGATCTTCTAACCCACTCATTTTATTTCTTAGCCAGGGAAGGCCTAGAGAGTCCAGTGCCCGAACCAGAACGACACAGCTCAGTGGTGCACTCCTCACTGTGCCAGGCCACCCACAGGGACCATTCACGTCATCCACCCCTGGCCGAGGCTCTTCCAGGTAGAGCCTTGTGGGCTGAACGTTGGGAAGTCTAGTGCTCCCTGGTGGTGGGTCGGAGTCGGTGCAACCTCAGGAACGGCTCAGTATAGGGGACAGTCCTCTGGGTGGGCTGATGGGCTTGGGGTTGTGCCAGGAACTTGAGCAAACTGATGTGTTTGTGTCCACTCACTCCCTTCCTCCAAATCTATGCAATTCAGGATCAGTATGGAATCTGTGTCTTCTAAAATCTATAACACAAAGTCAAGAAATAATGAAGATGCTGGAGAGATACACTTAAAATGGAAAAGTGAGTATAAAGTCATGGATTCTGTTGAACAAAATGAAATTTAAAGTATCTTTCTAACCTTGTTGTCATCTGTAAGTACACAGTCTGTATTGCATTGTTCTCCCATATTCTTTTCTTTTTCGATCATTCCATCTTAAAAGCAAGACCTTTCTGATTACAAACTGCAGAAGAGAAGTGCTTTATTCATTTCTATACGATTTAGGAAATACTTCTATTTTACATGTGTATACATATATATGTGTATGTATGTTATATAACACATGTAGTAAAAATACACAATATAGATGTTTAATATATAACATTATTAAGGTAGAGAGCTTGCAGTGTCACTTTCACATATTTTGTGGGCATTATCCTTTTGTATCAGTTTAATCTTGTAAGCTTAAAAGGATACAGCATCTATGTTTTTTGATACTAATGCTAAGTGACATTGCAGAAGTATAGAAAATTGGAGTGAAAACACACATGAACACATACATATATACTCCCAAAATATGAGCTCAGTGTGGTCTAGAAAGGCTAGACAAACTCAAATAGAATTCCTTCCGTTAGTCTCTACAGACTAGGGGCTTCAGATGTCATTTTCTTATAAAATCTTCACAGCAAGAAGGTCCATCTACAAGTTTCCTGTTACTTTTTACTCTAATTCAGCAAAATGCACTGTAACTAACTGAAATTCTGCCTTTCCCTTACTCTGTCATCAATTCTCTCCTCTCCTCTGCTTCAGGCCAAGCTAAGGATGATGCAATTCCAAAAAAGCAATCATTGTGACAATATGAGCTATAAAATATGACATAACTCTTTAAGAATCTAAAGCTTTTGTTTCCAGCATTCACGGTGATCTTTTAAACGCTGCTTTCTCTTACAACCAGCGGAGGTGAAAGAAATGGCAGAGAAAGCAGCTACTGGGCAGCTGGCAGTACCTCCTTGGCATCCTCAGAGTAGTGTGACTTTAGAAAATGAGGCTGAAAACAGGCCTGATCCCCTGCTGCAGCCCCCCATTAGGGTCCCTGAGCACGTGGATTGGCGGCAAGCTGTAGAGCATCCCAAGAAAAATGATGAGCCAGGAGGAAATGGCAAGTGTGACAAAACAGACAGCAGTGACCGCAACAGTGACCAGCATGGCAGACAGCCAGTGCCTCAAAGTTTCACCGGTAAGTTCAGTTGGACGAGTCAGGGTAGGTGAGCTCTATCAAGTTGTCAGCTCTCAAAAATAAGTAAACCTCCTAGAATATTTCCTTTGGTCTTCTTTCCTACCTGTCTGGGAATCCTGAATTCCAGGGGAAAGCAGCATACCCTTCTAATCCCAATGTCCTTCAGACAGGTAAAGAAGTCCAGAGATTCATGAGTTTTTCTATTACTGGAGCAGATTCCTTTGTCCAAAGGAAGTAAAATAATCTCCATGCACTGACCCTGGATCTGGGTCTAACCTCACAAAGAATCGAACCTTTTACCTGAGGGCATTGGTGGAAGGCCACTCCCTACTGCCCCCTTCTTTGCGTTGCACTTTAAGCCAGAAAAATTCCAGTGGCTCTCAGAGAGTCTATGCCTGAGGAACTTAGAGACAAACGACATTTACTGTCATCACTTTTAGAGATTTTTAGGTGAAAACTGAAGACTGTGTATTTCTACCTGGTAATTTGCTTGCAATCAGGGCATGGGATATCGTTTCACAGTTGTTTGCAAATCAAAGGAAGGTACATTTAAAATTGTTATTTATCTTAGGTAGAAAATCTATTGGTTTGGATTTTTTTGGTATTTAAAATCTGTTCCTTGTCAAGCATCGCTCTTGAATGGGTAGGCAAAAGGGTGGCTGATCCAGAACCACGTGCTGGGGCCAGACTAGCCTAACAATCTCCACTTTGATTTGACATATGAAACATGGCCACCCTTGGCAGAATATGCCTACATCTCTTCTCTCATGCCACCCTTTGCCCCTTCCATGCCATTTGAATATCACCAAATGACAATGATTGTGTTATAATTATTAGGTACCAGGCACCTGCCCCCCAGAAAAAATGAGCAGCCAGAGCATAGTGAAGTCTTTCAAGAAAATTCTGATGCACCTGTGGTTGTTGAGAAGTCTTACAGCGTAAGTCATACTGCCTGGAGAGCCAACTTGAACCCAAAGACCTACTAGAACTGAGTTGTTATGTATTATGACACTGAAATAATATCTATAGTAGTTCTTTTTGTGGGAGCATGTGCCCTCATGTCTCTGACATGAAAGAAGAAGTCTTTCCTCCCTGCCTGATACTTTTTGAGTTAGTTCAACTCAAAGCATTGTGTATATTGGAGCTTGGGGAAAACACAGACCAGTGTTATATTCAGCTCTGACCCTTGAGCTTTCTGTCAAGTTGGCTAGACAAGACCAACTCTTTTTTTTCTTAATTAATTAATTAATTATTTTTGGCTGTGCTGGGTCTTTGTTGCTGCGCGCAGGCTTTCTCTAGTTGTGGCGAGAGTGGGGGCTACTCTACGTCTTGGTGTGCAGGCTTCTCCGTGTGGTGACTTCTCTTGTTGAGGAGCACAGGCTCTAGGCCTGTGGGCTTCAGTAGTTGTGGCGCACGGGCTTAGTTGCTCCACGGCATGTGGGATCTTCCTGGACCAGGGATCGAACCCATGTCCCCTGCATTGGCAGGCGGATTCTTAACCACTGCGCCACTAGGGAAGTCCCAAGACTAACTCTTAAAGCACGGTCAGTTACCAAAGCTCGTGACTCAGGTCAGATTGAAGTAGGAAAAGCAAGGCCAGGGTTGCAATGGGAGTACCTTCACCTGGAATGTCACCTAAGACCCAAATTCAGCTTTCAACTCAGTGGAAGGAATGTGTTCATGCCTGAAACCTCTGCCTCAGCATGATCTCTGGGATACAGTCGTATCCTAGCATTTGCATTGGGGTTACAACCTTGCTTCAGGGATTTAATGCATTCTTCAAGCATGCAGTTGGGCCATAGTCCAGCCAGAGCAAGGAACCGAAATTTTTGTAATCACCATTGACGTGGGCCCAGGATCATTTAAAGAATATAAACAGCAGCTGAGAATGAAACAATGTAAAAAGCCAGGTGTGATAACATTTGTGGTCTTTCAAAGAACATACTATTGTATTAATCATAGCACACAAACCGCTCACAGGACAATTTATTCTTTCTCTCATGTGAGGGCTGGGAGGATGTGCCACATTCAGCATACTGGCTTGGCTGGAGAATCATCTCTGTCAGGGAAGTGGGGAAGGTATGGGAGGCCAAGCTTGTCTGAGAAGTTTCAGTTTGACAGGAGAGGTTAAGGAAAGCAGCTGCTAAGTGCACAGAGGAGGAAGTATGGCAAAAGCAATGTCTAAGGAAATAAACCACAAAACCTCTGCAAAGGGATGACTGAAGGTGAGGAAAGGAGCCAGTTGTCTGGCCATGTGGTGATCAGGGCCTGAACGTAGAGAAAGAGCAAAAAAGGAAGGGGTAGAGTGGAGATGCTGAAGAAATAACTTACTTTATTTTTATTGCTGAGATTGCATTGCTATTTTAAAAATCATGCTTCTTTTTTTATTTATAAATTTATTTATTTTATTTATTTATTTCTGGCTGTGTTGGGTCTTTGTTGCTGCATGCGGGCTTTTTCTAGTTGCGGAGAGCAGGGGCTACTCTTCGTTGCGGTGCGCAGGTTTCTCACTACGGTGGCTTCTCTTGTTGTGGAGCACGGGCTCCAGGCACACAGGCTCAGTAGTTGTGGCTCGTGAGCTCAGTAGTTGTGGCCTGCGGGCTCTAGAGCGCAGGCTCAGTAGTTGTGGCACACGGGCTTAGTTGTTCCCTGGCATGTGGGATCTTCCTGGACCAGGGTTCGAACCTGTGTCCCCTGCATTGGCAGGCGGATTCTTAACCACTGCACCACCAGGGAAGCCCCCAAAGGGAGTCCCAGTTCTGAGCAGCCTCAGCCTGGAGGACAACACCAACACATGGACTGTATCTAGGCTCTTGAGGATCAGGGTGTTTAAATTCAGTCCCCAGCTTGAGTTGTCTGGGGACTTTTTTCTTCCTGTGAATTTTAGAGCAAAAAGGTCACCCAGCCTCCCCCCACTTCCACTGTGCAGGTAAGGATGTTGAGATTCAGGACTGTCATTTGTCACATTTGCTCCAGGGGGTTCACAGCTCACAGTGGGGAAGGAGGGCCAGAGGTGCAAGCAGGCAGGAAGGTCTCAGAGAGTGTCACCCCGACCGCAGAGTAATTTTTGATACCCCATCATTAACACTGCATCCAGCTATAAAGGGATTTGTTTACAATAAACACCAACTTAAAAGTGATTTCCTACCTCATTAATAGGATCAGTCCGTGCAATCAACTTGTTCACCAGAGTCTACTGAAGACATAACAGATGAATTTTTAACTCCAGACCATGAATATTTTTACTCCTCAACTGCTCAAGAAAACTTGGCTCTAGAGGTAAAAAATTTTTTTTAAATAAATTTATTTATTTGTTTTTTTTTAATTTTTGGCTGCATTGAGTCTTCGTTGCTGTGCCGCGGGCTTTCTCTAGTTGAGGTGAGCGGGGGCTACTCTTCATTGCGGTGTGCAGGCTTCTCATTGCGGTGGCTTCTCTTGTTGCGGAGCATGGGCTCTAGGCGCACAGTCTTCAGTAGTTGTGGCACGTGGGCTCAGTAGTTGTGGCTTGCAGGCTCTTGAACACAGGCTCAGTAGTTGTGGTGCATGGGCTTAGCTGCTCCACGGCATGTGGGATCTTCCCGGACCAGGGCTCGAACTTGTGGCAGGCGGATTCTCAACCACTGCACCACCAGGGAAGCCCCTAGAGGTAAAAATTTACAGTTCAGGATAAAGTACATCTTCAGCTTTTCTGTTGCCTTATTCCTTTAAAATTATTTTTATTAAGAAAAATAGCTTACACATAAAAGTATATAATGTCAATTTATCAGTGTTTTTGTGTGTTTTGAAAAAACATGTGAAAAATAAGATTTTTGATAATGGAGGTCATAAGCAATTTCTCCCAAAATTGTGGTTCCTGCATTTGTACAGCATTTTGCACTTCTTTTTTCAAAACACTTTCCTTCATGTTACCCAATTCACACATCCTTCCTGAAGGGAAGAGAAGGCAGCCTCCTCTGTGTGAAGAACTGGCGAACGCAGATGTAGGGAATTAGCCCTGGCCTGGCCAGATATAGTGGTGAGAGAGCCAGGAATAGAGTTACAGTGTCAGCAGTGAATGTGAGGCTGTCCAGTACACAGGGCTTTCTCTGGGATCTGCCTAGCTTTTGCAAGAACCTGTTTGTACAGAGTATTTTCGTTTATAAAATGAAACTTATTGGATTCTCCTATTTACTTATGTTATTTTCACCTCACCTGTCCCCTAACCTGCCGCTTTTTGAGGTTCTTTTACCAATATGGAAGGTACGGTAGAGGAAAGAGACGATTGTACATGTCAGTCACAACATTTGACTGACAAGAAGAATTCAGTGATGCATCAAAAAGCGTAGTTTCCACTTGTTGGCACTTCTGAAAACTCAATTAGAGCAATTTTCCATTATTAATCCTTTAAACATTCTTGGTTTTACAGTGGACTGGGACATTAAGAAAATCTTTAATAAGAATATATAAAGTATATATACATACATATGTATATACATGTAATGTATAGATGTATATAAAAAGTATAACAGAGAAGACTACACACATCTTTAGTGTACAGCTCATGAAATTTTACATGCTGAACACACTCATGTAGCCAGCACCCAAATCAAGAAACAGACCATTCTTGATCCCCCAAAAGACCTCCTTGTGTTTCCTCCCACTCCCTGCCTCCCCTCAAAGGAACCAGTGTTCTGACTTCTCACCCCATAGAGTAGCTTTGCAGTCTGGGCCGTTTTTCCTACCTTCTTTGGCTTTTCTGATAAAGCTCCCAGGAATCAAAACATCTTTGTTGGAAGGTTGTGGTGAGGAGGGGGTGATGAAGGGAAAAGTCACCCGATTCCACCTCGAAATGGGAGGTGGGGGAGGGCTTGTTGTTTGGGAAGAACACGTAGTACAAATAAGTTCTTAATGTCTGTGATGAAGGTTTGTTCTTTTTCTATAGAAGATGTAGGAACCTTACGAAGATTTTCAAGGTTTGAGAACATCAAGAAATTCTCTCTCCACCTTCTGATGATATGTCTGCCTCCAGTGACCCTCCTTTCTTTGCTCTTTCATCCTTTTGCAGACCTCAAGTCCCATTGAAGACTTTGAAGGAATACAACATGCTTGTGCCCAACCTCAAGCCTCTGGTAATTGGCCCTCAGGGCAGATTCCTTTGAGAGTCCCTCATCTTTACTTTCTGTCAGATCACACATGTTTAGAGCTGGAAAGGTCCTTAGAAATAACCTTCCAGGCCTTTCATTTTACAGATGAGAAAACTTAGGCTCAGTGATTTCCCCTGCCCCTCACCAGTCTCATGACATCCATACGTCATGCTATTTATACCTCCCCTTGCATTCTTATAGCATACGTTATAGCAGTTGCTTCTTCTGTTTTCCCCCTGTAGTCTCTTTCCCTAGATTTCAGGCTCTTTTGTGGCACATAGCAGGTGTTCAGTTATCTTTGCTGAGCTGACCTGAGGGATTGACCTAGGCCACACAGCTAGTTATTGACACAGTGACAACCAGAACTAGGTTTCCGTGTCCTTCTCTACCCCAAAAGGCAGAGTTCCACCATCGTTTTCCTTTGGTTGCTTGGCATCTTAGCAAAGGGTTAATAATAGCCAACAGTACAGTCAACGTAACATCCTTCCCTTGGGAGGCGTTGGGTTCTATATAACTTAGCAACTGCTTCCCGTTACATGGTAAGTTAACCTTGGATCAGCAGCTGGGGTGTGACACAAGACAAGATATAAGTGAACCACAGGTTCTGATACAGGCATTTTAAAAATTGTGCACTTTCGCTCTTTTAAGGTATGCAACCATCCATTTTTAAAACCAGGGTTATCCACCTACCAAGCCATGTAGCTCGGTCCAGGGTCGTGTCTCGACAGTCTGAACCTGGGCTGGGTGGGTTTAGGTTCCGACCATACTCCCTTCCTCCTGCTGCATACTCCAGCAGCCATCTTTAACCTGATGCAGGCCCCCGTCACAGGCACAAGCATTTTAAGAAGCTGTAAGCTTTCAGATGAACAGTTAAATTCTCAGGACAATATGTATTTAAAGTTCCCAAACCTGGGTCTCTGGCCACCCAGCTCTTTCTGTGGAGCCTCTGCCCATGATCACTTTCTGTGTGAGCCTGACCTGTACGTGGCCACTTCACTAGTGTTTGGAAGAGAGTTGAGTAGGATAGAGAAGTTATGGGGCAGGCAGGTCAGAAAACCAGGGCTAGTTGGATACAGACATCTAAAGTACATGTAGAAGCCTCTGATTTCTACTCTGTTTCCTCCTTTTAGCCCTTCTCCTCCCCCTTTTTCACTAGGGCTCTGATATATCAATATATCCTCTCCATACCAGGCAATACAAAAGGGGTAAAAGTTGCGTACATGCTGGGTTCCAAGTCCAGTTCTGCCATTGATTTTTTTCTGCATTACCTTGGGTATGTCACTCCACCTGAGGACCCCACTTTCCCTCCATGTAAAGGAGAAAGTTACACTCTAAAATCTCTAAGTTCCCATCCAGGTCTAAATTGTGCTTATTAGGAATTGATTTATGCTTTCCAGGTGTTTATGCTTTCTAGGCATTTGAAAAGGGGTGGAAGGAAGAAGAACCCCTATGCTTCTCCACTGGTGGGGTTTCAGAGTAGCTTGGCTTCTGCTGAAGGTGGCACTTTTATAGTGGGCCTCCCATTGCCTACCAGACTACCTCCTGGACCTAAAGAATGGCAGGCGGATCATGAGCATTTGCCAGCGGGGCAGGCTGGTCTGTCTGTCCTCTTCTCTATAAACCAGAGCTATGTAATGGTGGGAAGGAAAATGGATACTGGCCCCGTGTGTCCAGAGGCCTTACTGAGAGCTGGGGAGGAGTGACTTCAGATGCTTGAGGCCAACGAGAACAGAAGACAGTTGAATTAGCTCCTTAGTACTCAAGACCCCATCCCCACGCTTTAAGTGGTGTTTGGTGGCCAAGAGACACAGTTAATGTTCTGGGAATGCCCAGAACATTGGTCTTTTCTTTTCATTTTTTAAAAATTTTCATTTGTTTATTTAATTTTATTTATTTTTGGCTGCATTGGGTCTTTGTTGCTGCACGCAGGCTTTTCTCCAGTTGTGGCGAGCAGGGGCTACTCTTCCTTGTGGTGCGTGGGCTTCTCACTGCAGTGGCTTCTCTTGTTGCGGAGCACAGGCTCTAGGCACGTGGGCTTCCATAGTTGTGGCACGGGGGCTCAGTAGTTGTGGCGCACGGGCTTAGTTGCTCCGTGGCATGTGGGGTCCTCCTGAACCAGGACTCGAACCCATGTCCCCTGCATTGGCAGGAGGATTCTTAACCACTGCACCACCAGGGAAGCCCTCATGGTCTTTTCTATTTGGAATCTTTAGTGAACAAACAGTTCTTGGTTTCAACGCCCCCTGGTGTCTGTTGACAGGAACCAGGTCAGTTTGCCTTCCTGAAAAGACAAAACAACATTTGTCTCCAGAAATAACTGTGCAGTTATAACTGAAAGGCCAGTAAATGGCTTGATTGTATTCTGAGAGTCAGAATATAGTTCTCCCCTCTGAGCAAAAGGGAAATAAACTTTCAGAGCAAACACCTCTTCTACGGTGCTCACTCCAAACCCAATTAGGAAGCACTTGGTTTCTGCAGGTTATTTCTTATTCTGGATCAGACCAAGGAAAATTCTAGAGAATGAAAGTAATAATCTGGGTTGGCAAAAATTCACTAAAAAATGCATGTACTTTATTCTTTCAGGTGAAGAAAAGTTCCAAATGAGAAAAAACCTTGGAAAGAATGCTGAAATTTTGACCAGGTCTCAATTCCAACCTATACAAAGGTATATGCTATTATTTTTTATTTTTATTTTTACTTTTTTTGCGGTACGTGGGCCTCTCACTGTTGTGGCCTCTCCCGTTGTGGAGCACAGGCTGTGGACGCGCAGGCTCAGTGGCCATGGCTCACGGGCCCAGCCGCTTTGCGGCATGTGGGATCTTCCCAGACCGGGGCACGAACCTGTGTCCCCTGCATCGGCAGGCGGACTGTCAACCACTGCGCCACCAGGGAAGCCCCCTATGCTATTATTTTATTCACGGTTTCAGACTCATAGAAGTAATGTTAATTGATGGTAATGCCCCATATTTACACGTTGCTCTTCTTCAAATATAATGGCCACCATGTTATAACATTAAGCTTTGGGCAGCTTAGCTTTGTTAGGACTTGTTCAGCAGAATTGTGAGGGGTCGTGAAAAGGAGTTGTTATCTGTATTCAGATCCTGACTCTGCTTTTCTAACTTGGTCAAATTTCTCAACCCCTCTCTTCTAGCTCCCCATTTGTAAAATAGCAATAAGAATCATCACTGGGCATATTGGTAATTGAAGAAAATGCACAACAGTGTATGTAATTTAATACCATCCGTGTAAAAATGAGAGGGAAGGGAGATACCTATCATCCTTGTAGTGTGTCGACATTTCTGGAAGTCTATACAGTGGTTAACTCTGGAGAGAGAGTCCAGAGGTTTTTCTTTTTATCTTATAACCTTCTTTGCTGTTGGAATGTTCCACCATGGCTGCATACTACTTTTGAAAGAAAAAGCTACTTTGTATTTTTTTACTTTTACAAATGAGAAAGAGAAATTCCATCTGGTTAAGGAAAGTTTCTGTAGACAACATTGAGTTTTACTTTTTCACCTCTTTTAAATAATATATTTTCAATTCTATTAAATAAATGGAAGATTCTAAATTCAAAAAAGAAAAGAATTCTTACTGGAAATGTTGACATAGAGATTAAAAGTAATAATATGACTTCTGGGCATTTACCCAGAGAAATGAAGAATTATGTTTACATGAAAACGCATACATGGGACTTCCCTGGTGGTCCAGTGGTAAAGAATCCACCTTCCAATGCAGGGAACATGGGTTCCATACCTGGTCAGGGAACTAAGATCCCACGTGCGGCGGGGCAACTAAGCCCACGTGCCACAATGACTGAGCTTGTGCGCCTCAACGAGAGAGCCCGCGTGCTGCAAACTACAGAGCCCATACGCTCTGGAGCCTGCGCACCACAACTAGAGAGAGAAAAAACGCATGCCACAACTAGAGAGAAGCCCGCACACTGCAATGAAGAGCCTGCATGCTGCAACTAAGACCCGATGCAGCCAAAATAAATAAATAAATAAATAAATAAATAAATAAATAATTTAAAAACCCAACACATACATGAATGTTTATAGAAACTTTATTCATAATAGCCAAAATCTGGAAACCCAGATGTTATCTAACAAGTGAATGGTTTAATAGACTGTGTTACATCCATACCATGGAATGCTCCTCAGCAATAAAAAAGAATGAACTATTGGTACATGCAGCAACCGGGATAAGTCTCCAGAGAATTATGCTGAGTGGAAAAAGCAACCCCTGCAAAGTTATTTACTATATGATTCTACATTTATAACATTCTTGAGATGATAAAATTGTAGAAATAAAGAATAAATGAGTGGTTTCTAGGGGTTAAGAAAGAGATGGGAGTGGGGGGGGAATGGACATGGCTATAAAAGGGCAACGTGAGGGGTCCTTATGGTGGAAATGTTCTGTATCTTGACTGTATCAATGTTGATATCTTGGTTATGATATTGCTCAATAGATTTGCAAGATGTCACCATTGAGGGAAGCTGGGTAAAGTGTATTTCTTAAATACGGAATGTGGACTTCCCTGGTGGTGCAGTGGTTAAGAATCCGCCTGCCAATGCAGGGGACACGGGTTCGAGCCCTGGTCTGGGAAGATCCCACATGCCACGGAGCAACTAGGCCCGTGTGCCACAACTACTGAGCCTGTGCTCTAGAGCCCGTGCTCTGCAACAAGAGAAGCCACCGCAATGAGAAGCCCGTGTACTGCAAGGAAGAGTAGCCCCCGCTCGCTGCAACTAGAGAAAGCCAGCACGCAGCAACAAAGACCCAACGCAGCCATAAATTA